ATCTCGACTCCGGCGTCGTTAAGCGAGCTGATGATGACCTCTGAGCTCCTAGAAGGCGGAGCCTGTTTTATCTGGGATTATATCTGATAACGGCCGATAACATCTAAACGTGTTGTCGGTCCTGATTGAATCGCTGCTTCATCCAAACACCAACACACAGAAAACAACCTTCCTGCCGCCGCCGTCACCACCAGCAGAGGCTTTGAGGGCGTCTATCTGTCCGTGTAATTCACATTAGAGACGTGCTGCAGCGTGTAATCGCTGTAAATGTCAGAATGTACAGAGCTGTAGGTTCACACTGATGTTAACCAGAGAACCAGCAGCCTGTTGTTCAGTAGCAGCAGAAGACCTCCGCTGGGAGGACTTCTGGATTAGAGGAGATCCTCTGGAAGCAGCGACAGGATGTTCTGTCGTGTTCCTCCTCCCATGAACGTCTCCTCGGAGAGCCACGATAGCTGCTCTCCTGTGTCTGTCTCACATGACTAGCCGCTAACGCTAACCGCTAGCGCTGAGCTGCTCGGTCACACGTGTGCAGAGATGTGTGGCGTTGCCGTGGTAACGGCATTTACGACGCTCCGTACGCTCGTATGGCGTCGATAGCGAGGTCTCACACCTTCACCCACTCAGAGCCGACGCTAACGAACTGCTGCCTCCGGCTAACGGCGAGCGGCTCGTCTCCGAGGCCCGTTAGTCACCGACACCGGCCGACCCACTGGCCCCGTTACACGCTGCCCACCGGGAACAAGCATGTGCACATAAACACACATAAACACACAAACACACACATAAACACACACATCAACACACACACACACAGACGCACACATAAACACACACTGAATGGCCCACCGGAGGCAGCTCAACAGTAAAATGTGCTGAACAGCCGTCAGCAGCCGAAACCGGAGAACAAACGACAGAAACAGTTGGTCTGAATCCAACCGGCGAACATGTTGAGTAGCGAGAACATGTTTGTCAGTGAGCAAATCATGTTTGTTTGCAGAGACATTTGGTGAGGACATGTTTGTTAGCAAATAGAGCATGTTTGTTACCAAAGAAAACATGTGTATTAGCAGGGATAACATGTGTTTTTAGCCAACAGAACGTGTTTGTTAGCAAAGAAAATGTGTGTTAGCAAAAAGGCAACATGTTTGTTTGTGTGCTCGTGAGGAAAACATAGTTGTTAGCAAAGAATACATGTATATTAGCAAGGAGAACATGCTTTTTAGCCAAGAGAACATGTTTGTTAGCAAAAAGAACATTATATATAGCGAGGAGAACATGTTTGTTAGTGACTTAGTGAGGAAAACATAGCTGTTAGCAAAGAGAACGTGTATTAGCAAGGAGCATAATGTTAGCATACATGTTGATGTTTGGCAACAAGGTACACATGTTTGTTTTCTAATAGAACATGTGTGTCAGTGAGAACATGTTTTAGCAAAATGTACCTGTTTAATAGCAACATGAACATGTGTGTTAGCGAGGACCACGGGTTTGTTTAAGTGTTTGCTAGTTCAGGAGAACATGTTTGTTACTGAGAAGAACATGTTTAGAACATATTTGTAGGTGACGATGTGTATATAAGAAAAAAACATGTTTGTTAATGAGGAGAACATGTTTGATGGCTAAAACAACTAGCTTGTTAGCAAAGAGAACGTGATTGTTGGTGAAAAGAACGTGTTTCTAAGTAAGGAAACATGTTTTTTCATAAAGTTTCACTTTGAATATTTCTATAAAAAAAGATGTTTTGATGTGATGTCAGAGTTCATGATCAGGGTCGGTCTTGTTTTATTCCACTTGATTAGCTCTGTTCTGAACGTCGCCTTAACATAGGAACTCCATTCTAAAATGTCACCGCAACGTAGGGACTCCGTTCTGAATGTCACCATAACGTAGGAACTCGGTTCTCGCTGATCACACTTCATCTGAAACAGAGAAGTTCTGGTTGGAGGTCATGAACCTCCTCAGAGGCTCTGACATGGTCCCGTTGCTGCTAAACTCCCACAATGCTCTCTGCTGCCACCATGAGCTGTAGTCTGAGTGACGCCTCCTCTGGTCTCTACAGGATTAAACAGTGAGAGGCTCCACCTGGTGGAACAACCAGGTACTGCAGCTGGGCCGGGGTTTCACTGCACATTTGATATTTTCAACAGATGACGCTAATCACAACCATCTCGTGTTAATTTGATGACATGCGAAAGACTTATAAAAAAAACAAAACATAGAAACGAAGCTCTATCTACACTGTAAATAAAAACAAAAAAACTTATGTTCAAAACCTGTGAAAAAAAATAAGTAAAAAATGATGCCGTATATCTGCACAATAATATATTTTTTGTTAATGTCAACACAGTGAAACAGTCTAACTTTATAGTCATATGTTGTTAAAAAGAACAAATTAATGTCTGTAGTAAACAGGTGTCTGATGTCGACGATATTTAGAGTTGTGGCTGTTTTTATACAGTTAATGTGTAAATTAATACTTTTATGTGACTTTTCTGGATATTATCCGTAATTCCTTTTCTTTAATTTTTCAATATCTGTAAAATAACAATACGTTTATCAAGATAAATACTGTAAACAACAGTGTGTTGTTGTGACCACATGTTAGTAAAAATACTGATTTTTATGTGAACATTATTTATACTTGTAAATTATTACTTAGCATTTAAATGTATGTTTGTTTTCCAAGATTTCACCAAATTTTATCGGTAATTTTAACAAAACATTTAACATTTTTTCAATACTTTATTTTTCAATATTTGTAAAACATTTTTTTCTGCTGATTGAATACTGTTATAAGAAAATAACTGTTGTCCTACAATATAAAAGACAATTATTAAATAGAAAAATACAGATTTTTGACAACAGTATGTACAATCTGACCTTTGCCATTTTCCAATCCTTGATATACACAATTTTTCTTTCAAATAACCATAAATAACTGTAAAGAATAATATTTTTAGGAAATCACTGCAGTAAAAATTTTATTTTGCTGTTAAATCTCATAAAAGAACAAATTACCATTTATACATATAGAGTTTTTTAATGTATAAATTAATAGTTGTTTTCTGTGATTATACTAGTTATCATCTGTAATTTAACAAAACAGAAAATATTAAAACACAGCAAAATGGTGTAATTTTATTATCAAACACAGTAAAAGAACTAATTATTTATAAAACCAGAGATTTCTGATGTTTTTACAGTTTTGTTCTGTATTTCTACAGTTAACATCTGAATTAATTGCTGATGTTTTACTGGATATTATCTGTAGTTTAACAAAACCGAGAACATTTGTAAAGTAGCAGATAAACATTTTTAACCATTTTTCAATTTGCTGATTTAAATAACAATAAAAATTGTTATTTTACCGTCAATCCTGGTAAAAAGAGCAAATTACTGTTTATGAAAAATACTAATTAACATGTAAATAATGTAAATTTTCTGTGATTTTACCAGATGTTATGTGTAATTTACCAAAACAAACTAATCCGTAAATTAACAGTAAATTGTAATTTAAAAAGTTTGAGTTAAAAACTGTTCAACACATTTGTCTTTAGTGTCGCAATTTCACAACATCACCGTTAAAATGTTCTGTTTGTGTTAAAGTTTAACCTTTAAATGATCTTTGACCTTTAGATGAAAGCTGGAAAACGTTATCAGAACGTTTCCTGCTGCATGTGAAGCCAATAACTGAAGTGTTTTTTTGAGAAAATCTTCAGAATTCTGACTAAAAGCTGCAACACGTGAACTCAAAAACCAACAAACTGCAGCAACACAACACGAGCTGCACAACAACGCTGCAGCAGCGTCAGACAAACCTCCAGAGAACCTCGTGATCTTCCAACTGCACAAACACAAAGACAGAAAAGTCTCTTTGCCCTAAATTTGTTGTCCAGAATCCATCCGGTGACCAGAGGATCCACTGCTGGACCCACTGTGACCCTCACACACACACACACACACACACACACACACAACAACACACACACACACACACACCAACACACACACACACACACACCAACACACAGCAGCAGCAGCATGGTGGAGGACATCTTGTTTACAGTGAGGAACATAAAGAAGCAGAATAAACAGTGAGGCTGGAAAAGCCTCCAATCAGAGCCGGATGTGAAGCCCACACACGGAAACGGCGCCGGAGGCCTCGAACCGGATCCCGCTGCTCGATGGATTTTTCATGAAGCCTTTATGGGTTTGATGCAGATGACCAGAGCGGATCTATGAGGCCTGTCGGGCTGCAGGCGGGTCAGCATCAATAATGCATGTGTGCGTGTGCGCGTGCGCGTGAGCAAACAACAGCTGAAGTTCTGATTTTCATATTTCAACCTCCATTTATTTGAACCAAGAAAAACCAGATCAGGTTAAATCCACTAAACTTAAATACAAAAATAAGGGACTCGAATCGATGCATGAGTTGACAGTTGAGCCGCCGCCGTGCAGCCCGGTGCCGGTGCTCCGGAGCCCGGTGCGGTGGCGGCGGCGGCGTGAAGGATGACGGCATGGCGGAGAGCTTCGTTTAGGCAACAGCTGGGACCGTCTCCGGTCCAGGAATCTCGTGTTCTGTCCCGGTTCTTAAAGCTAACAGTAAAAAAATAGACTTCCCCGCTCCGGTCCCTCCCTCCCTCTCCCGGCCACCGTCTGGGCCGCTGCGGCACAGAGGAGCCCCGCTCCCGAGAAACTAAACAGAAACCGAACCGAGCCGTGTGCGCAATGTGCGGGTTGGACGGGTGATTCTGCGGTTCCGTGGGGGGTGGATGGGTTCGTGCGTCCCGCTCAGCACCGAGCCGAAGGGGCGTTGTCTGTCTGTCTGTCTGTTTGTTTGTGTGGCCGCGCGCCTCTCCACGCTCCGCGGCGCGCCCCCGGTCCAGACGGAACCAACAGGTCCTTGCATGTGTCCGTGTGCTTGTGTGTGTGTGCGCGCGGGGGAAAAGTGCGCGCGAGGAGCGGCGGCGGTGGCGGATGTGAAGCGGAATCCCCGGTCACGGCTGGCCCCCGGTCACCAGCTCCTTGAGGATCCCGCTGGCGTCCACCCGCCGCCGCTCCCGGATCATGTCCTCCAGGCTGCGGAACACCAGCGTGTGCACGCCGCTGCCGGACAGGTGCACTTTGAGGAAGTACTGCTGCTCCGCCGAGTGCGCCTCCCCGCCCGCCTTGAACTCCCGCTTCCCGAAGCGGCACCAGGCGGCGAAACTTTCCGAGTTGGTCCAGCAAATCTCCTCGCTGCGCAGGCCCAGGTGTCCCGCCGCGTTCTGCATCACCAGGTCCGGCGGCAGCGGCCGGTACCGGTACCGGTTGTTGGCTATCCTGCCGTGGCGGCCGTTGCTGATCTCAAGCAGGCTGTCCTTGCGGATCTCGCCCTTGTGCAGGTGGATGACCCGGTCGTCCTGCTCGTAGATGACCCAGTGGGGCGGCTGCGCGGCGGCCACCAGCTCCAGCAGGTCGCCCGGTTTGCACATCGTCAGCAAAGTTTTGGCCGCGTACACGTTCAGGTCCTCGTTCTCCCGCAGCTTGGAGAAGATGCATTCCTGGGAGCAGAAGGCCGAGTACTCCACCTCGCTGACCGAGAAGGGTCCCTCCTCGGCCGGGCTCAGGTCCTTGGTGAAGCCGCAGTCGGACGGAGTGCGGTCCTCCACCTCCTCCTCTTCGTCAGAGAAGAAGTAGGCGACGCCGACCCGAAGCTCGTCCTTCTCCAGCCCGGACGGATCCCCCGTGGGCAGCTCGCTGTAGTTGAGGTGGGTGATCCGATCCAGTTGATTTCCCATCAATGACCCGGCAAGGCAGAGGCATGGACTGCGGTGTCTGCGGGGACAGAGAGAAGCAGAGAGACTCACCTTTAACAGAACATCAGTTAAATCCTGCTGCTGACACTCGGAGGAGCGCTCGATAGTTGTCACCTACAGAGACGCGTGTTATCGAGCAGCGACGGTCTCCAGCTCTGACTCACTCACTGGTCCGCTGCCCCTCATGCTCATCAGTCCATCATTAATCCGGAGGGTCGTGGAAAGGCCCGTGACTCTCATGCAAACAATGAGGCTGCCGCTGCGTAAAAAGACGCAGAGATCCGCTGCGAATCAAGGCCAGTCTGGCGGCTTTTACGCACGGCGCAGGAGGAGAGCAGAGCGGTGCTACCTGTGCGCTCCCGGGGCGGACGCTTAAATATCCGTGTGGTCCATCGGTGCAGAGGGCTGCACGGTGCCCCGCTCTCCCGCTGTCCGGTTCTCGCTCCTCGTTCTTCCGCGTCTCCGCGCACCGGCCGCTCCGGCTGTCGTGCGAGCGACTGTTCCTGCTCTCCCAGCAGCGGCTCCGTTTAAGTACCGGGCAGAGCTCCGCCTCGGTGCACGCGCTCCGCCTCCGGTACCTCTCACTGGCGCGCGGTCACGGCTCCATTACCGAGCAGCCAATAGGAGCCGCGGAGGAATACGCCAGTCAGAGGAGCGGACCAATCGGCGGCGCCCGGGGCGGCTGGCGGCGACAGGCGGCTGTTACCGTGGCATGGGTTTTGTTGTCAGAGCTGTGGAATTCTGCACATGATCATATAAGTTCAAGGCAACCGGTGACACCGATTTGCATATCTCACCGTGAGAAGTTTTGCTCTTATCTGAGCGCGCACAGTGGCTGCGGGACGCGACGAGCGCGCTGCGCAAAACTGCTCCCGCGGCTCCCATGTGTGAACCGTGGATTATTTCCGCATGTTCCGGCGTCACCGGGATGTGTGAGGATGTCAGGAGGCGGCAGCAGCCAAACAAAGCGCATTAACACTCACTGTGCGCTGGCGTCGCGGCGCAGATGGAGCGTTTCACATTTCAGCCACTTTAATGAACGTGCACGTCGCGCTGCGGGATGAACGAGCCACTCGTGTCACCTCCACGCTGCAGTGATGTCTCTCTCTGCCCACTGATAGCCATCTTGCCGCCTCCTATCAGACCCTCCTCCTGCTGCTGCCGTTCTTTTTTTTCTCCCCGCATTGGAAATCTGTTCGTCTTTTCTCTGTTTTTTTATATTCTGGCAGCATCTGGAGCTCCGCGGCTCCTCTCGGCTCCCAGATGGTTGAAGATATCAGCTCTGACACTCCGCGTCCTCTTTGTTTCTGCTGCTGACAGCTTCAGTGAACGTGGCGTTTTGTTTCCCTGCAAACTGAGATATGATTGTGTTGATTTACGCGCTAATAAGGCGGCGGGACGCGCGTGGAGGAGCCTCACGGCATTAATGGAGATAAAAACATCACATGAGCTGATTCAGATGAAGCTTCAGACACCTGCTGATGGGCTGAGCTGCACCAACACAATACTCTGTGTAATTTAAACTCAAATGTGTGCGTTGATCTAAATCCAAGTGGAGGTGTTTGTTCAGCTCATGTTCATATTTATGTGAATTAGGGACACAACAGTTAAAAGGTCAAAATAAAGAACAAGGAATCAGCAGCTGAACTACTTAGATTTATAAGTAATCGACTTAAAATCGTGTGTTTGGACCACGGAGTCATTTGTTCACTCAAGAGATTTATTCCCACTTAAATAAATACAAGATTTTTTAAAAAAGTCTAATTTTCTGATTCAGACAAACTGTTTAACTCCCAAATATTAACATTTACAGATCGGGTTTTGTTGCATCAACTTAATATTCTGTGGAATTAAAACTCAAATGTCTGCGCTGACGCCATCAAGCCGATTTCTTCAGTTCCCTCGACTAGAGTTTCGTCTCAAACTAAGTAATACAGATATTTAACTTTAAATTAAACACAATAAGTCGACCCAACCACAAAATAATGTTTGAAACTTAGAACAGATTAGTTTGGAAAAATAAACACAAAAAACGTCCCGTATACGAGTACCCAGCTTCAAATGAGAGAAATTTAATTTAAGTTTATAGAAATTTAACTGAAGAAAAACAAAAAACCATTCTGTAAGTTTATTACACTCCTAAAAATAATGTGATGTTTGTGTTCAAACGTCAAACTTTTTGAGTTCAGACGACTTCTGATGAAATTAAGTTCCACCAACAAACTACATGAAGTTAAAGGAAAGAACTTTT